TTAAAAGATGATGTAACAGAGAAGAGAAGGCTGGCAAGAATAATCCACGTCTTCATCCTCCCTCCTCTTCTCCCTCATCCATTCACTTAGGAGATGTCTGTTGCATCAAAGCTGTACATTGGGCACTCTGAAAGTGCCTAATGGCCCCAAAATCATATTACCTGGCACAAAAAAGTGAAAATCGCTTTTTAAATCAGCATCAAAATGCTTATAGCTCTGACATGTAAAATTAGTCCTTCCAAGATCAACTTTAACATTATGATATTGTTCCTAGTGGATAAGATTTGTTCACTTTCATGAGAAATTTTTTAATTTTATTTTTGTAGAGACAGGGTCTCACTATGTTGCCCATGCTGGTCTCGAACTCCTGGGCTCAAGTGAACCTTCTGTCTCAGTCAACCAAGAAGTAACTTTAACTCATAAATGAGAAGCCAAAACAGTCCCACCAAGATTTCCTAAACATCTGTAAGTACCAAGCACAATGGGGATTCCAAATGGAAAATGATGACAATCCCTAGTGTGGTAGGAAAGACATGATAGAGAACAACAATTCCAACAATATCAGGTCTTTAGAAACCGTAAGGTCCAAGAAGCAACCAAGGAAGTTCCCGGAGAAGCTGGAATGTGAGCTACTTTCTGAGAAACCTTAAGAAACAATACTGTCTATATTTCTCTTTTGCACAGGAGTTGAAGATAGAAAGGGTGAAGTTTTTTTTAAAAAGAAGCAAACAGCTGTGGACAAGCTTCATCTTCCTCCCAGTTGGCAGTCACTCACATCCCCACTGAGCATCCATTTCCTCTAATGGGTTCCAGCCACAGCTGAAAGCCCAAGGAAGAAGAGGACATTTCCTTTTCAAAACTAGAAAAGGTTTGCAAATGGACAAGTAACAGAGAAAAAAGTACTGTATGAAATAAGGTGCCCAAGTACTTAGTCCTTTAAAAGAATGCTTGATAGGCCAGGCATGGTGGCTCATGCCTGTAATCCCAGCACTTTGGGAGACAGAGACAAGAAGATTGTTTGATTCCAGGGGTTCAAGACCAGCCTGGGCAACTTGGCAAGGCTGCCAACCTTGTCGCTACAATAAAACAAAAAATTAGCTGGGTATAGCAGCACACACCTGTGGTTCCAGCTACTTGGGAGGCTGAGGCAGAGGGATCCCCTGAGCCCAGCAGGTTGAAGGTGCGGTGGCCGTGAGCATGCCACTGCACTCCAGCCTGGGCAACAGAATGAGACTCTGACTCAAAAACAATAAAAAATAAAAATAAAGGATGCTTGATAGAATCCCCTTTTTAACAGACTGCAAAGATCCATCTCTCTAAGAAGGAACCTTAAGGTTCACCTGACAACCCAAACCACCACTGCTCTGACAATGAGGTCCAACTCATTTTGTGGCGTGAGGACATTCCCCATAACCCCAGCATTCATGAATTTTTGTTCACTGAACAACTATTCTATATTTTAAAAGATGTGGCTGTTTGGGTCTATAAAAACACTATTACAGGATATCTGTTTGGAATACCTCTACAATGATCTTTATATAACTTGACAGTTTTCACCAAATGTTCCAGTAATTTAAAACTTTGAGTGCTCAAGCTCAGGCCAAGATGAAGTGCTTATTATTTGACAATGATAAAACACCACATTAGGGGTTTTAGGCCCTGAGGCAGTGGCAAAAATAAGAAAACTGAGGTGTGGAGGTTGGGTTGCTTTCTAAGACCTATCAAGGAAATGAACTTTGCAATGAAATACAATTTCTTAAAGAAACATCAACTTTTAGTCACAGGGGTGGACGGGTCGTTCCCTTGGGCAGGGAAAGTGCACAAATTTAAGAAACACCCTTTACCAGATTGAAAAATTATATTTAATTCACTCTCCTCCAAATATTTACTAGAATAACCTTAATACTCTATTCTATGATACCAACCCCTAAATAATGTAACAAAAAAGCATTCATCTACGAAGTTGACACACTTTTTTCCCTATAAATTATGATTCTATCACATTTGTTCAGCAGAGCTACAGAAGCAAAAGTTAACAAGGCGTAAAAATACAGTCATAATCCTCTTTTGGGAAACTGCAGGGAAACGCAAAAGCAAGGTACAGAAATCCATGGAGCAATTTCAGAGTTCCCTATAAGACCTCCCATACCACCACTGAAGAAATCCAACAGGAATCACATGGCAAGGACTCAAAACCGCGTCAGGCGGGGTATTTGTCCTTAACTAACTTTCACTCACCAGACACTGCACAGATACGACTGTGTACCAGGTACTGTGCTGAGCTCATGGGACTAAGAGCACAGACTGTTGACCTGTATCTGGATTATGTTTGGTCTGTGTGATTTTTTTTTTTTACATTTGAAGATATGCTTAAAAGTTGGATGGTCTCCCAGAAACATCCAAATATCTGGTTTCTCATGAAGAACTGAAAGATCTAGCAACATGGACACAGCATTGACAACTGTCAGGTGGAGCAGAGAAGCCGCTGACCTCTATAGCAAAGGACACACTCTCTGGTTTGCCACAGTCCCCACCAGACTCTACTGTAACCCGAACAACACACTCAATACTTCCTTCATTTATGTTCACTGTCTGGTCCCAGAGGTACTTGAGTTTATCATTTTCACTCTAAGAAAAGAAATAAAAATGCCCCTTCTGCTTAAGAATCACAGAGTCTAATGGAGAAGGAAGATATGATGATAAATTATAATAGGATATGATACAGACTACAGTAGAGGAACATGTCCCCTCAAAGCAATAAAAATTAAATTAGTTTCACTTTTCTCTCTCAAATTCAATCAAATCTCAAAAACAAACAAAAAAACCAAAAAGTCAAGACAGGCAAATCAACAAGAGGTTATTTTCAACTGTCTCCAAGTTATAATAACACCAAACAATTTCCCAGACTTTGTATTGTCATAACAAATAAACCCATCTTTCACTTCTTGTCAGAGGAAATGGCCAGGGTTCAACTGAAACCCTAAGGAAGGCAACTCACTATGCTGAGGAGAGTCCCCATGGGGTCAAAGACATTTCAGGAGGGTCTTGTAGGAGGAGAAGATGGTCGGGTGGTAAAGTGGAACAAGTCATTCTACAGGTGCAAAGAGGTGGAGGGCTACAAGATATGGCATTTTCTGAAGATGGGATTGGGCAAGAACTTCTATGGCTTGCCATACTAACAGTTTTGAACTTAAGTCTGGGGCAACAGGAAACCAAGCAAGTTATTTAAGCCGAGACTGACATGACCAGATGTGGGTTTTTTAGGGAAATATGCTAGCAGCAGTGTAGAATGTGAAATGGAGTGAAGAGCCCTTGTTGACCCACAACCCAATGGGTACTAAGGTGAACCCCTCTGTGTTAGCTTCTTGGAGCTCAGAAACCCCACGTTCTCTGCCAGTGATGCATGTCTTGACTAACTCACCTATTATTTCTTTCAGAGGCTGAGGTGGATCAATGAAGTTATCTTTCTTAAATTGGCATAGTGAAAAACTTGTGAGGTAACATACATTGCAGACCTTCGAAAGGGTCAAAATGCAGTAACCTAAGTCTCCACTAATGATCTCAATTCCATACAACAAAGATATCCTCTTCACCTCCCTCATTTTCCCACTTACATATCTGTGACAATAGAGAATTTAGAAGCTTCCAATGAAATATCCTCCATCCCACAACTGGCACAAGTTTGATTTTCCTTATACTCAAATCACTACAAACATATGCCCAAACACTGTCCTCAGCTACCATTAAGTGAGCCACCCAGAGCACATCACATGATCTCAGGCTTTGAGGCAAGGTCTAAGGGTTATTTTAAAATGACGAGTCCAAAGAGAATCACTTTACTCAGTTGCCTTTTGGCATGGACCTGATGAAGCAACAGCACAGAAAGGTCAATAGCAAGGACACTAGGCTGTTACAGAGAAATGAAATGAGATGCCAGAAACAGACATGCTCCCTCAAAGCAATGACAATCAAATCAACTTCACTTTTCTCTTTCAAATTCAATCAGATCTAAAACAAAAAAAGACAAAAAAAAAACAAAAAAAAAAAAAACCAAGATAGGCAAAGCTTTTTTCAACTGTCTCCAAGTTATAACCCCAAACAGACTATTTCCCAGACTTTTTATTGTTCTAACAAACAAACCCATCTTTCACTTCTTGTCATTTGCAATTACCACACCATAATTGAAAATCAGTGAATCACCATGGGGCTTGGAGAGAGCTGCTACTGGCTGTGAGCTGTCACTGTAATCATCACAGAATAAACAAACAATATCAAGAGTCCTTTCTTCATCATTTTTAACCTATATATTGCAGAGACTCTGAAAATTTTATACTCTGTAATTCCCCATTTTCCCTAAAGATGGCATGACATTTTAAAGCATTTTCCCCTTCAAAATACTGTTTTTCTCTTCTTCAACAGTCAACATGAGGCCCGCCCCAAAAGACTTCAACATAATTTCAAATCTGTTTGTAGGAGCCAAGAATTCAATTAGGAGAAAAATTATCTTGGAAGAGTTTGTACAATGCAGCCAATTAACCCTCTTGTAGTTTTGCTGAGAAAAGAACCTGAACTGTCTAACAAAAGGCTGCACAAAATCAAAAGGAACAGACTAGGGCAGGGGTGAAGGATTCCAGAAATCTGGGTCCTGTCTGCTAATTCTGTCCATTAGCAAAGTCACACAATGCCCCAGGCCTCCGACCCTGAGGAACTCCTAGCAGAGTCCAGCCCTCCACTCTGCAAGGGGCTGCAGAGCTTCAAGAGTTAATTCAAGGGCTTCTAACTCTCCCTTCCTGCAATAGGATTTAATCAATGTCCTCAACAATGGTTAAGTTTATAGAATCACTGAGCTTCTTCTTTTTTTAACAAGTTCTATTTCCATGATTTGATGAAACTGAGCTTCCCTCTGTAATTACAAGGAAGGAAGACTGGTGTGGAAGAGGTGGTCTTCCTCTTCATCTGTTTCCAAGCCAGATCCTCCTGACACATCCTAATATCCTCACCTTGGTTGCTTCCTCCACACTCTCCCTCAGGGACTGCAGCTCAGCGTCATATTGCTCCTTCAGTTTGTCCATCTCCTGGTCATGGCTGGAAACCTCTTCTTTCAGGGCCCCCTTCAGGGCAGTGAGTTCACGTTCCCGCTTTCTCAAGAGGTCTTCTTGCTCTTCTTTGGCGATGAGCAGATCTTGAAGATCCTGTTTTGCCTGTAAGAGCTCCTAGAAAGAGGAAGCATGAAAAGGGGAGGTGAAGATTCAACACCTTGGTCAAGAGGCATCTCTCCTCCAGTCCCATCCCCAGATGCTCAGCCATCTCACCTGTCCCTGTCACTCTCTCCTCCCTCATACCACTCACCTGATTAGCCCATTCTTTCCTCTCCCTCTGCACTTCTCAGAGGCCATCATTCCCTTGGATTCATCTGTCTTGGCTTCTTAACATTTGATTGAATTTAAGGGAGAAAAGGGAAACTGACATAATTTTCATTGCTTTGAGGGGATATGTCTGTTTTTCCCATTTCATTTCATTTCATTTCTGTGCAATGGTCTGTTGTCTTTATGTGCTGTTGTTTCATGGAGGATGTGCTGACTTCTTGGCCTTGCTTCTTTCATAACCCCTGGATCCCTGAGTGCGATCAAAGACTTCATCCACAACCCTGGTACTCAGGATGACTTTGCCCATTTTCTTTCTCTCTCGTTTGTTCATCTGAGCAGAGCACAATATTCACATTTTCTCCTCCTTAACTGCTAAGGGTTCATGAGGAAGGTCACAAAACTGGGGCAACAAGTTCCAATGCAAATCACATTACCTGAAGCCAAGTGTGTCTTGCCAAAGTCTCCACATTCCTTTTCCTTCAGCTTCTCCTCCTAGACCTTCTCAGTTCTCCTCCAGCTCAAGACTCACCCTCACCTGCAGTGCCCTCACTCCTCACTTGGCCAGGGAGACTGGGGGACCTGCGTTGCCCAAGCTCCCTGCCCAGGGTCACTTCAAAGAGAACGAACTGTTTCCTGCCAGCTTATTCCCAGTCGTCACTCTACCTGTTGTCTTTCTTTCTTCCATTTTGTTTTTCTTTTCCGTTTTCTTAAATCTTGGTTACCCCCAAACTTTACCACCAAACTTTTTGAAGGCAAGATTTCTGTTCACTGCCTCTACTTCATGACTACCCATTCACTCCTTAATCCCTTGCTGTATGACTATGTTCCTACTCTACTAAGATAGACCCTTGCAAGATCATCATGACCTCTGAATCACCACATCTCATGGATTTTGCCAGTCTTCAATTTTCTTTGCCCCTCTTTGATCCTCCCTGCCTATCTCTTCGAGATTCTCTTCTGCCTTGTAATGCAAAGATAACACTCTCCTGTTTTCCTTCAAGCCACTTTTTCTGCAATAATCTTCTCTGGGTTTTCTCACCCTCTTCCAAAAGCTATGATGGCCCCTAAGAATGCAGCTTTGCATTCTTTATTCTTTTTTGGCAATCTTGTCTACTTTTTTTCCAACTATCAATTCTATGTAAATGACTCCCAAACCTTTACCCCCGACCTCTGTCTGAGTTCAAAACTACACTAACACCCATTCAATAACCTGCTAGACACATCCATCTGGAAGTCTTGTGGGCACCTCAGGCTTAACAGGATTGCAGGGGTTTTTTGTTTTGTTTTGTTTTGTTTTTGAGTTGGAGTCTCACTCTGTCGCCCAGACTGGAGTGCAGTGGCCGCTCCCGGCCACCGCAGTCTCGACCTGCTGGGCTCCGGCGATCCTTCCGCCTTAGCCTTCCGAGTAGCCGGAATTATAGGCATGCGCTACCACACCCAGCTGATTTTTTTATTTATTGTAGAGATGAGGTCTCACTGCCAAGGCTGGTCTCGAACCCGCGGGCTCAGGCAATCCACTCACCTCAGCCTCCCAAAGGCGCGGGATTATGGGCTGAGCCACCGAGCCCGACTAGGATTGCAGTTTTAATTGAATTTAGTATGTTCCTTCCTTTCCTCTTCCTCCTTCATTATTCTTATGACCAGCGCCACCTGCCCCCCTCAGTACCCAAGTTCAGAAGCTTGGCGGCAACTTTCACTTTTCTCTGGTCTTTGTCACTCCCAACTAAAAAGTGAGTTCTGTAACATCTCAGATCCTTCCCCTCACTTCCCTGGGTTAAGCCCTCCTCATTTCCTGTACAAATGGTTTGCAATAGCCAGTCAACTGCTTCCCACATCCAGCCTCTTATCTGCAGCCTCTAGGACAAAAACCACGTAGCATCCTATATCTGGAGTGTCTTCTCCCCTCTCAGGCTCACCTCTCTCTGCCTCTCAGTGAGTCTTTGAAGACTCAGATACAATATGGCCTTCTCCAAGACATCTTCCTTGAATATCTCTCCTGAATACCCATCTCACTGCAGCTGTTCTTCTCAAAGCACTTAATACTTTCTACCTTGCATTTCATACATTTTGATCATTTTTCTTATCTCCTCTACTAGATTGTTGGCTTCTTGAAAGAAAAATATAGATCTGACTTACTATACTTTTGATGCATGGATCAACGATATTGGGAGCGCTTACTGGTTCTGGATATAAAAAAACAAGTGTAGTACAGCAGAAATCTGGAGATATCAGAGTTCTAAATGATTCTGTCACTTGTGGCTTCTGAATAAGAACTCAGCCTCTGTTCCTGGAGCTCCTGGGGAATCAGAGGAATGGCTGCCACCTGGTGACCTGAGAGACCACAAGCTACTATCATTCAAGAAGGGTGTCACTGATGAGGGATGAAAACATTTCTACTCATTTAAGAGTAACTGGCAATGAAATCTCGTTCTTGTCTCTAGGACATGCACATCCACTGAACCAGGGGAACGACTCCGATCCAAGGGTGGAGCTGCATTGCATAGGCCAAGGCTTGGCCCATCCAGAACCTAACTAGCCAGCACAGAGAAGTGAAGATGAAATGTCAAAGGACCTATCTAGGCAATGAGAGCAGTTCCAGTTCTTTCAAAGCACCAAACAAACACAGAGATCTTATGAAAATACACCCCATCCTGATGTTTATCAAAGGGCATACCCTGCTGAAGCTGCCCAGCCTCTCCTTAAGGAAGATCAGAGTCTCCTCACAGTCACTATTGCTACTGTCTACCCTTAGGGCTTCCTGGAGCCTCCTGCTCTTCAGAGCAGGCTCTGAGATTCTGACCCGTTTCCTGCTTTTACTCTCACACATTTCTCAATTGTTTTGAGGATAAGATAGTTCCTCTTCCCACACTTATCTTTGCCAGGATATGTCTGTGTTTTGTGTTGCCTTTTGTGTACTGCCGCCAATGCATGTCAAGAACTGAGGTTTTTATGGTTCATTCTACACCAATATGCTATTATCTGTGGCTGGGGCTGTTGCTTAAGTGGACTGCACTGCACAAATCCAATCAGATTACACCTCAACATGTCGCTCGGTAGCACTTGAAGCTTTCAAAAACTTCAATCTGTTACCCTGGGGCTTAAATATATCAAGTCACAGAAGGGAGAGAAAAATAAACTTCAAAATATATATAAATATCCATTAGAGGTGAATATGCCTCCCTGTAGACTCCAATCAAAGAAAACAAGAGAAAATTTTGGCTATTCAGAATCAGTGCTTTCAAAACTTTATACAATCTGAATAGTTCCATACTGGCCAGGTGCAGTGGCTCATGCCTGTAATCCCAACACCTCGGGAGGCTGAGGTGGAAGGATTGCTTGAACCCAGGAATACGAGACCAGCCTGGGCAACATCGCAAGACTTCATCGCTACAAAAAAAAAAAAAATTAGCCAGGCATGGTGACGTGCATCTGTAGTACCAGTTACTCAGGAGACTGAAGCAGAAGGATCGCCTGAGCCCAGGAGGTTGAGGCAAGCCGTGATTGTGCCACTGCACTCCAGCCTGGATAACAGAGTGAGACTCCAACTCAAAAAACAAAAACAAAGAAACAAAGAAACAAAAAACAGAATAGTTCCATACATGACAAGTAGCTGGGAAACAAAAACCTAGTGCATATACACAGGGGTGGGGAGGGTTGCTAGAAAAGTTGACTGAGGTTAGTACATACTACATAGTAAGGAAGTGTGCGAAGCATTCCCAAAAATCCAAAGAGATGAATATTCAAGGAGATGCAAATTATTGTTTTCACTCACGAATGAAAGAAACCAGAGCTCTGAGATGCTAACATGCCTCAGGTTGACAGCTTATAAGCAGTGGCATCAAGACTGGGACCCATCAGATTCTAATGCCCTATCTCTTCACCACAGTCACTATAGACCTGACCACAAAAACCACACACTCAAGAAGGCCGAGGAGCCAACAATTACACTGAGATTCACCTGTCAGATGCCAACGGAACAGAGCACTATGTTTTGCTGGAAGTGCCTTTAGGGAGGTCCACGTTTTTAAACTAAAGCAAAGAATCATGACCAGAACCTGAAAAGACAGAAAGAAAACTGAGAGAAAAAGGAAGTTTACTCTGGAACAGGTTGTCAGCATCAGTAGCAAATGGCTACCCCAATGAGACAGGCACCAGGATACCCAGGGTGGCAGCTTATTTGCCCACAGAAAGCTTCACTTTACATACCACCTCTTCCCAGGCACACATCAAAATGAAGAAAGCCCTAGCCTAGGTCCTCTTCTGCATAAATGCTTCCCAGAAGTACTAGAGGGTCCCTATCTCTAGTCCATACTCACTGAAAGGGTAAATGAAAGGTTTTCTATCAAAACTAGAGCTGACAGAGAATTCTGTAATTTCCTTCCAAGATGCCCAGGAAGCATCCTACAGCTGGTGAGAACCATGATATCTTTAATTGCCTTTTTATTAAAATGTGTGTAATGTTCAGTAACACCACTACAAAAGAAATCTTAAGAGACCTCATTTCTGGGCATAATTTCTCCTCAGATCAATACAAGTTTATCATCAGAATATTTTTAGTAAGACTGAAGTACCTGAGTCTTGGCAAACGAATAAAACACCACAAGACTGTTGGAATGAGGCCCATCTCTCAGCATTGCAGGCTCCCATCAAAGGAGACATTTGATAATTAGAAAACTTCACTGTTGTGGCACTTAGAGAGCTGTCTCACGTTGACCTGTCACCCTCAGAATGGAAGGCAGCACATTCATGACAAAGAAGCGGCCAAAAACTTGTTCTGTACTCATTTTGTAATTTGGGTTTTTTAAAAAATTCAGACTCATCAGATACCAAAGACATCCTATCATTGGTCAGTTATATGGTTTACCCTAAGAAAACACAGTTGTTTTTTACTATTCTTTCCTTTCTTCCTTTTAAAAAAAAAAAAACAACTTTTTATTCTCTTCTAATATTACTTTACTGATGACATATAGAGTCCTGGCATTATTTAACAAAATGTGAAATGTTAAAAGAGATTTCATGACAAATCTGGTGCGTTATGCAGGACTTACAACCTTTGGGCCGTCAACCTTTTTCAAACACTCAAAAACAGAAGTGTTTAATGTTCATTGTGTTTAAGAGTCTGTTCCAAGCTAAACGCCATGGGAAACTTGGCCACCACTGTAATCTGTTATCAAATTTCCCCAGGCCACTTTTTATTAAGATTTAAAGAATAAACTGAAAGTGACAAGGAGATGGAAACTACTTTACTAGAGATGTAGAAACCATAGATCATGTTTTAAATGTCACTGACAAGTCAAAGAAAACCGATAAAAACAGAGGCTGGAGGGAGAGAAACTCACTTTGGCATAAGAAGCTAATTGTGCCCTAACTCATCTTACAAAAAGGCATCAGTAAATGATACAGCTCTTGTTATGAGAGAAAGGCAAACAACCAGAAAGCCAGCAACATCAGGAACAGTTTTAAGAAAACCTGTGCTTTTGCCCATTCTTCTACCTCCCATTATCAGCCCTTGCCTGAACTCACTTCACCAAAGCTGAGGCTCATATCTGTGTCCTATGTACCACTATACATAAATCAACAACGATATCATTAAACTATGTTTAGCTAATATATGTATATGCAGTTTAGTGTGTTTAAAGAGGCAAAGAAGTATGCAGTTCATTTTAGAATATTCTCTTTCTGAAAGATGGTGACGGCCAGGCTCTGTGGCTTGTCCCATAATCCTGGCTCTTTGGGAAGCTGAAGTGAGTGAATTGCCTGAGCCTGCAGGTTTGAGACCAGCCTGGGCAATGTGCGAGACCGCGTCTTTACAATAAAAAAATAAAAAATTAACTGAGTGTGGTAGGGCACGCCTGTAGTTCTGGCTACTTGGAAGGCTGAGGAGGAAGGATCGCTGGAGCCCAGCAGGTCGACGCTGCGGTGGCCATGAACATGCCACTGCACTCCAGCCTGCGCGATGGAGTAAGACTCCAATTCAAAAAAGTAAATAAAGTTGGTGACATATTTAAGTACTAAAAATTATGTATTCGTTTGTTCCATTGCTTGGCACTGTACTAGGCATGAAAAGCAGAGAAGAAGCAATGATGATATGTTCTTAAACTCACTGACTAGGAAAAAATAGATACAAAAGTATGCAAGGTCAAGTGTGCTAAAATAGATCGTCTAAAAAGATAGAGGTTCGGTCACAACTGACATTCGTAAAAAATTAAATTAAATTAAATTAAAAGAATAGAGGATATCAGAGGAAGAGCAACTGACACTGAAAGGTTTCAGTTATTGAGAAAAATCAGCAACTTAAGAGACTTCTCAAGAGTTAAGATAACATCTTTCCCTTTAGAGCCAATAAAGTGTCCACACAATGAATTATAGACTAAGGCAAAGTCTTATCTTCTATTTAAATTTGACTGTGAAGCTACACTTTTATTGAAAGCCATAAACTGTTCAGTGACATCATTTCTGGGAACTTAGTCATAGGAAGTTTTTTTAAAGTAGTAAAAGGATACACGTAAAAAACGTTCACCACGTTTGTTCATAACTGCAAAAAAAGGGAAAACAACTTAAATGTGGAAGAATGGTTAGATATTTTGTGGCTTATCTTCTTAAAAATAAAATATAAAGACTACAAAGTATAATAAGGAAAAATGTTTCTGATATATTCACTTTTAACAGTAGGTATCAAAACTGTAGGGACGCTATGATTATCCCTACATCATATGTAGATGGGTAGATGAAACCTATCAATGGATAGGGAAGCAAACAGAAAATGTAGAAATAAAAATGGTTGTTCAGGTATTAAAAAAAATAAGTATATGTGTCTGAAGGAGCTCATTTTAACCCACCTGTAAAGAAACGGAGAAATGCAATGTAAGTTAATGCTAGCCTTAAAAAAATAATAATAATTTTGTGATCTTTCTCTGGCAACTAAGGGAATGAATAAGTTGTTCTCGTTTTCAAACGCTAAAAGCCAGGTTAATTAAAAGTAAGTCCGTTTCTGAAGGTTTAGGCCTTGCCTAAAATCGTAATCCACTGCTTGTCCCTGTAAAACCGTTACGAAGTCTCTCAGAGTCTTGTAATGTATGCTGAGTCTCTACTTTATACTGTAATGCTAAGTAACACTAATGCTTGCGTTTTTTGGCTATGCTCATTTAATTGTCCACATCTTACGACTAAGGCTGCTGTTTAGTAATTCATGAGAATTTTTAACAATTTTGCCTGTTTAGAAATAAATAGGAACAGATCATTTTACATCTTCGTGGTCTGTTCACTCTAAAAAAAAAAAAAAAAAAAAAAAAAAGGAGAAGAACTCCAAAATGAGCACCAGAGGAAAGGTAAACAAATTGGCAGTTGCCACTAAAGGCAAAAACTCCAGCCACCCAAAAAAAGGCCTGATAAAGATAAACCTGCTAACGAGATGGTGCAGCCTCTCCTGAAGGGGAGGGGAAACACTTAGCTCAGCGATAGTGACTGTTGACTGAAGGGGGAGGGGCACGGCCCACCGCAGCACTCTGTATGCCATCCACCCAGAGAATCCTTGGGTCTATATAAATGTGGTTGGGGTCCAAATTAATTTCTTAATTAATACTAAGGCTAAGTTTTTAGCCCTTGTGCTCATACTGAATTTCTTCCTCCTAAAACCTGCTCTCTAGTGGAATTAAAGGTGTTCCAAAAACTAAATGTCTCACCTAACAATTACTAAAAGGTAAATTCAAATTGTGACTGTAAAAGGTTATCTATAAATAAATAAAAAGGAAAGCAAGAA